CAAATCCGAAAAGAATTTGTATCCCAAAATTAAATAATTTATATCAATCTAATTCATCACAACTCAAAATATAAGAGACATCAATGTAATTGAAAGTTTAAAGACATCAATGTAATTGAAAGTTTAAACTTAAAATCATCCATAAAAATGCAAAAACACAATAATTCCTAGGACATTTAACTCTAGTTCTGATTGTAATAAAATTTCCTCCACCCAAACAATTGCAAAGAAGAACCCAATTCCAAGTATCATTTTTCGTACCATTTCCCTTCCATACATTCTCATTCCCTCCTGTGACCTGCCAACCAACATCTGAGAAGTTTTCGAATTCTGTATAATCACTGTCTGAGATCATTGTTTGGTACCATGTCTTGCCATCAGCCTTGATTGCAGATGCCTCCTCCTGTTAACCAGCCTTTGAGAAGTTTTCGAATTCTGTTTGCCAGGAACCTGTCTGAGATCATTGTTTGGTACCATGCCTTCCCAGCAGCCTTATTGCAGATGCCTCCTCCTGCCAACCAGCCTTTGAGAAGTTTTTGAATTCTGTTTGCCAGGAACCTGTCTGAGATCATTGTTTGGTACCATGCCTTCCCAACAACCTTTATTGTAGATGCCTCATCTTGCCAACCAGCCTTTGAGAAGTTTCCTCTCATTGTTTGCCAGGAACCTGCAAAATTATCCGGCACACACCTGCAGACACGTCAGCTTTTGTAAATTAAAAAAAACACGTAAAAAAGTTACAAAGTGCGAGATTGAGAAGTTCACTCAGTCCGTCTCTTTTGGTAAAGCTCCATATAAGCATGTCACCTGCAGCATCAGCACCACAACCCAAGTATCAACATCAACATCACATAAACTACAAAATTCAAAGTCCAACTTTCATACCTTTTGATTGGGTTCTGGTCACTCAAAACGGATCCATATGCCCATGAAAGCATTCAACAGCCCAATGCTCCCGACAGTTACTCATTGTTTCGTCATTTAACCTGTCCATCGGGGTGTTGGTCATGTCGAATTGAATAAATTTCAGGGCATATGCCCCACATTCAACACTACAATAAGAAGAAGACATTAGCATTAGAATAAACTTATAGAACAATTGTATTATGTAAGTTAGTTTTATATAAAATTTACCTTGACTCATTTATTGGGACGGTAGAGTGCTTAAGTGGCCACTTTCCAGTTAGTACTTGATCACTGAAGTGCCCAAACATCCTGCTGTCATGCAATAGCTGCGGGAACAACCTGGACAGTGGCTCCAACTCGATCTGCAACTGCTTGTCTCGACAAATAGTTGGGTTGCAATCAAGGATCTTCAACAACCCCTCCTCTAGATGTGCGACGACTGCTATCTAGTGCATCTCTCTGACGAGGATGATGCAGTAGACTCTTTTAATAAAGGCCCAACTGTGGCCATATTTGGGCCTTTCCCCCGTACATACTGTATAATCTTGTCATCAAACTGAAAATCATCAGGGATGCAGTCTAACTGTTATAGGGCCAATCTTTTTTGCTTTGCTCCTTTTGCTGCACCTCTACCAACTACATTTTTAATTAAAGTGCGATATGTCGAAACAAGCATTTGGCCAAACGCCACATCGGTGATGGCACAGTTGGGATACACTAGATCACTAGCACTAGTCTGTCGTAGTCTTATTAGTGCCAATATCTCATCGATATGCTACATCAAATAAAAATAACAAGATAAGTATGGAAAACATAGGTAAAAATAAGGAAAATTAAGCGAAAATAACTCACCGAGTCCTCAAGCCACACGCCCATTGTCAACAACTTTTCAAACCATTCACGGGGATAATCCTATGTCTTACACTTTATATGGGCATTACTTCCTGATTCATTGTAATAGGCATAGAACAATTTTTTCTTTTCCTCTATTGGCCTATACAAATCAACATTTGAGTCCATTTTCGCTTGCCCACTTCCTCCCCCTTCCTCCATTTTTACATCCCCGCTTCCTTCGCCTCCCACCTCGCCCTCCTCCATTATCACTGCCCCACTTCCTCCACCAACCTCCTTAACCTCCTCCATTTATGGTTCTTCCTCCATTTGTTTCTTAATTTTCCTCTTCTTTACCTGTGTCACTACCATGTAAGGCGATTTGACAAACTTGCTCTTTCGGCTCTCTCTTTTCAGCTTAGTTTGCACTTCAACCGCCTTTAATTCTCCACCAACTTCCTCCTCCACTGTACCAACTTTCTCTGCCAGCTTATCCACTTTCTCCTCCACCCTTTTCATGCGCTCTTCTATCTTGTCAAACCTGTCATAAACGGCTACTGTAAAACTCTCAAACAGGCCGTTTATGAGGTCAACCACCTCATTCTCCCGACACCGATGTCTCGCAAAGCGGTACTTGTTTTACCGATTTGCTGAGGCATACGAACCTCTTCCTCCCTCTTCTCCTCTTCCTCCTCCTCCTCGGGCCTCTCGCCGATTGGAGCTTCATCATCCTCAGCATCAACCAAGTTGTCAAGCAGTGGCCTTGCAACTGCCGTCACATGCGTGACCCCTTTTAGGTCTCGCATCAGGCGGTCTATCCATTCATCCCTTTCATCCTCCAGTGCTTTGAAAGATGCAACATAGTCCTCTTCCACTTCATCCCCAGTAGGGGTAAGAAAGGGACGGACGACTCCTTGCAATAAGAAAACAAAATCAATCAGATTGAAGCGACATTTTAAAGCAACTGCATATTCAAAGTTTAATCCTTTAATCTTACCCCAGCCGCTTCAATCTCAATGTTTATTTGGTCGTAATCCCAATGGGTATACCTTTCGACATGGCACCGTAACATCCTAGGAAATTGTTGTTGCACATCCAAACTGTTGCTCCTCCCCCCCGCCTTAGCGAAGACAGAGATGGCCTCATACATCCACGCCTACATTGTAAAAAAACAGTCCATATCATAATTCAAACACATATATTACAAAAAATATAACAAAAAGCTATTAATATTTACTTGCATTGCCCATGGGAAGCCAAACAAATTGTACGTGCTTGGTTTATCCTTCTCGATCCATTAGGATTGCTTTAACACCATGTCTGGTTTTTTCAGGCTCTTGATGGTTCGCTCAAATGATATCCGTCCCCACGGATAAGAATTAAAGAACTCCAAGTCGCTTGCAAACAACAACCAATCATTCTCAACAGCTTTTGTTGAGTCACCAACCAATAAGATCGAATGTAAAAACAATACCAAGCACACTTTTATCTTCTCTCTATCATTAAACTGAACTGTTTCTAGTCTCTTCTCTAAAACGTGTCCTGTAATAGACTTTGCCCCCTGCAAAACCTTCTTACGAAATCTTATGGCTCCCGGACTCTTCCTTATTGCCTCTGCCTCTGCCTTATCTGGCAATTTCCCACATCCTAAGCCCGTCACCACGGCATATTCCATCATCCCAAAACGTAGTGGCTTTCCGTCCACGACGAACCACATTTCTTTATTTTTATTGCATTTTACTAAGTGCAGCAACATGTAATGCACTCCCTGCCCCCAAAACGCCTTTTTCCAATTTGTTCCGATTCTTAAAAACCGACTGAAACAAGTGTCTTCGAAATCTCTTGCACCATGCCTCATTCTAGCTAAAATCTCCTTTATTCTGTCAAAAACTTCCCAACTCGACCTGACCGTCACCCTTGCAGGGAAGTAGGATACTTTATTGCTTACAAGCTCTAACTCGTAGTCTTTATAGTTTACGGTCCGCACAATCTACACAATCGATATAAACAAAATGTCAACAACAAAAATAAACCAAAACAACTAATAAACAAAATATCAACAACAAAAAATTACCTCTGTGGTCGCTTAAGAGATTTCGGATCGCTTAAGAGATCTTGACTCTGCCTCGTGCAAGATCTCTTAAGCGATCTGAAATCGCTTAAGTGACCAAGAGTAAACTGAAAGAATCAGTTAAGCGATAATCTTATATCTAAGATGATTCTACCTCGGACAAGATCGCTTAAGCGACAAAGAGTAAACTGAATCAATCGCTTAAGCGATAACCATGAGTAAAAGAGATTAATCGCTTAAGCGACAGTACAGAGCAATACTCCCAAAACAAAAACGTACCCTTTCTTCGTCGGCCTCCTCATCACTTGCATTCTCGCCGACCTCCTCCTCGGAAGACTCCTCCTGGCCTGAATTCTCGCCGGACTCCTCCTCCTCACCTGAATTCTCACCTGACTCCTCCTCTTCAGAACCGTTTTGCGATTCTTCTCTCTGTTGTTGTGTCGCCGTCGTCTCCTTTGCCTGTGGACCACCTTCACTGATCGGATGATCCGCCAGAGCAACCATTGAACTGCTTGCGCCACCAGAATCTAGGATTCGAAGTGGTGTTGGGTTTTCCTCCTCATTGTGAGTGTCAACCATGGTTTTGGATTGAATTTGGTGTCAAAATTTGCAGTTTCGATCAGAAATGTGGACTGTATCGCCGGAAATCGCACAAATTCTGTTTAGGGTTCAAGAAATCAATCGAAAATCGCGACTGTATCGCCAAAAATCGCCACTGTATTTCGTTTAGGGTTCAAGAAATTGATTTTAAGATTGAATATGGTGTGGAAATTTGCAGGTTCGATAGGAAATCGCAGTGCCTCCCTTTGGTTCAAGAAATCGCTTTTTGCCCTAATGAATTTCGATTAAGCGAGGTGAATAGGTGGGGCTTGTTTTGTAAATTTCAAATTTTAAAAACTTTCATTATTTATGATTCGGCCCACATATGTTTTAATCTTTTCATTTTAACCCATTTTACGTGTTTAATGAATCCTAATTATGTCACGTCAGCTTCTCTAAATTTAAAAAAAAAAAAATGAAAAACATTTTCAAAGCCATTTTGTTAAATGAAAACTTGGGATGGCTATGCAGCTAAATTTTCTTGATGAATTGCTGACTTCCACCAGAAAAGAAAGCGATGAAAACTCTAACAAAAGGCATGAGTTGAATCCTGCTATTTAAATGTGTCACGTAAAACAGAAAAAAACTATGATATATAAAAACATAATGTGCTATTTGTCATTCACATTTACAATGTATTTGATGCACCATATCATTCTTGTTACAATGGGCAGAGGGGAATGTGTCTCCATCATATTCATATTATTATCTGGGTTAGGCAAAAAAATGTTCATAATTGGGAGCATTTATGGCAACATGGGTACCCAATTGGCTATTTCCAATGTACCCAACCAAACAAGTCATTTCTGCTTTTTCAAGACCCATACACCACCTTTGGATTCACAAATATCACTCATCACCTGCGCAAGAGCATAGCTTCGGTTAAGATAAAGTATACAAGGCCTTTACTTGAAAATAAGAAAATAAACAATCTGATGCTACCTACTTCTGTCTCACTACAATTCATGACCTTATTCTTATGACATTAAAACAATCCAACGATTTCCATAACAAGAAATTTCTTAAACCGTTGGTGCACAAAATAAGAAATGGTCAATCTGACAGTATGCCCTTGGGCCTTGGTTACTGACCTTCTTATATTCCTTTTCTGTGATATTCTCTCTCTTCAGATCAAGTCTTGCTGCTTCAACAACATCAGCCTTCCTAAGCTTCGCATCAGCTCCTCTAACAAGTAGAAGGTCAATCACAACTTTCCTGTATTGTAGAACAGAATTATCTTAACACGAGAATAAGTATGAAATGTTAAATGCAAGGTACTCAAGATGTTTCAATGATGGCTTTTGTTGACGAAACTATTAACAAGAAAATTTTTTAAGTTTCCACAATTATATTAACTCAACATGACATCAAAACCAAGCGATCTACGGGTTGACTACCCCCAATCTGTTAAATGCGTGTTTCAAATCCAAGTTTGTGTTTGAGTGAGAATCAATACAATAAGTTCATTAGTTAAATTCATCATACATATGAAAGAGTATATTAGAATATATGCATTTCCCTTCTAGTTTAAATTTGGGATTAAAGGCTCTTCAATACATATCATAGCCCTATCTAACAAACATGTCACACATTCAAATCCTAAAAATAATTCCATTCAATTATTTAAATTATAAGTAATACTTAATGTTGTAAGGATCCACATGATAAGTGTGTTTATCAAATTCAAAACTATCATTAAGTTCTTTCCTATTAACTCAAAATTAAAAATTAATGATTACTCAATATGAAACCAAAGCTAAGAAGACTTATGTTCAAATCAATAAATCTATTACGTCTATTATCGTGTGTGCCTAGATCACATTTGTGACTTCTATGTTTGGGTCCATGTTGTCAAGTCCAATAATTTTATTTGGGCATACATGCAAGGCGGCATGTTAAAATTTAACACATTCTAATAGCTTAAGCTTTTGGTAGTTCCCCAACAACTATGAAGCACATACATGTTGATAGATGGTTCATCTATAGATCCTAAGGCAAATAACAACGCTTTAGATCCACCTGTTTTAGGCAATCAAAATTCTTAATTAACAAAAAATATAATTTACCTCAATTGATCATATTCTAGGTGCTCCGAGGATGACTTTGAAACATAATAACCATGAATGTTTGTCGCAACCTGACTTACGACTTCCTCAAAATCTGCAGTGTCAACACCATCTGCTGCAAGTACAGCAATTTTAGCATCAACTGCTTGCTTTGGAATATGAGAGCGAGCAACAGCCCAATTCCGCAAACATTCTTGAATGAACTGCTTGCTGCCAAGAAATTGCCACATTATTCTAATATTAAAAAATATTCTAAAAATTAAAGAATTTGTTACTTGTAATAAACACAATACTTGAGTACATAAAAAACCTTTGATTGTACAGTCTATAATACCATAGCTTGGGATGAACAGTCTTGGGATTAAAAAAGGAAATCTCTACTGACTAACCTTTTATATGTATATCACTTGGGTAGCATTTCTATGTTATGGTTAATTAAAATGACTTGACTAGAAAGAATAATCACCAATACATATCCGTCAATGATAATCCGACTGAAAATAAAGATATCAGCTTAATCATAGACTCATGCATTGATTAACAATAAAATATTATAGCAGCCTTGGTTTCTCTGACTCCACAACTAAGATGTATCGACCTTTGAAACTATTATAAAGGTTTGACCCAAAACAATTAAGTCTTGTTAAATTATGATAAATTTTGAAACTATCTAACCTCAATTAAACCCTCTTTTTCAACATATATTTTGATACACGTTTAAAACTCTTAGATTAAACTGTGTCATTTCTAAGATGTATTAATTGTTCAAGTTGTATTTAATCTCAACCATTTAAATTGTGTTGAGCCAATGGCTCAAAATTATATCTTAATTTGTGTCAAAAAAGAGTTCCAGACACCATACGGTCCATACCTGCAAACCTTGTGAATCTGAATAATTTTCTGCAAGGCCTTCGGTAACACTTGTCGACTTTCCTTTGACATGGGCTTCCTACTTTGTACTCCAGTTGCACCTTCATCAGAATTCATTGCTTTTAGAGGCTTACCAGCTGTCCCAGATTTTTGTGTAGCAACACCTTTACAAGGTCCAACTTTTCTAGATCTATTTATAACATCAGTTACTTGTTTCTCTGCAGCTGCCCAAACTTGTTCTTGCTTCTTAACAATATTTGGGTATTCTTTTATAAATGACACATCTTTATGCACTTTAAACTTCCAATCTTTAAAGGAAGGTCTCTCAACAGCAAATACATTCAGAACTCGTTTTATATGATCTTTAAGCTTTGCTTCGACCAATAATTGCTCAGACTTGACTGCCAAATTCTTGCTAAATAAAAGAAGAACATAATCTCTAGCTAAACATGTAGCTTTGTCATCAAATAGCAACAAAATTCTAGGAACCCAGAGACCTTGCACTAATTGAGCATGCTTCTGAAGGACTCCTAAAAGATCTTCAACAGAGTCATCAGGAGCAAAGTGCTTAAGTGCACTAAACCGATGAGCTGGTGGACCCTATTAAATTAAGAAAAATGTTCAAGTTACAAAAAAGGAAGAAAAAGAATGAAAAGAAATCAAACTGTCAGAGGAACACCTAAACAAATACATTTCTCTAAAGGTATTTTGTTAAGTAAAAACCCAGAAACCAGTAAAAAAAAAAAAAAAAGAATTATATACTCAAAGATAGAATTTGGACAGAAACCAGTTGAATTGATGTATGAGCAATTACAATCCAAGTCCGGTACAGTCCAAAGGATAGAAAAATGAAGGGATGCAGCAATTCGAGCAGCTGCGACCTGCCAAATAAAATTTCCACATAATTGTCTACCGATCCCCTCCAACCTCCTGTATTTATTCTCCACTATTTACATAACCGTCTAACAAACTTCTTCTAGAGAAATCACTCATTAGCAGCCAAGTGTCCACTGCCTTCTCCTTCACACCAAAGAGAATGCTTTCCCTTCTTGCGGGTAAAAACTTTCTTGAACGAAATTGCATCATATTTCAATAAAAAAAAAAAAAAAAGAAAGAAAGATCTGAATTGAGAAAGAGGACAGGCGGTTCATAATCCAAAAAAAGAAAAAGTATCAACAGTATATTAGATATAATTTAGGAGAACAAAAGCATTTTTAATAATACATACATCATACAACCCTAAGTTCAGTTGAGCACTAGAAGATGTGAAGGCCCATGTACATCCTATGACATCTAGCTTTCAAGTCACAACTTAGGAGCGTGATACTGTACTGTACCTAGGACCAAAATAAATTAAAAGAAAGATAAAGATATACATTGAACTATGAGCAGTGCATAATAGAATCCTAGTCATGAGAAAAATAAACATATCCCCTTAGGCCTTCAGCAACCCGCCACACAAAATAAATTAAAAAAAGAAAAAAAAAAATTCTTCCCAAAGAAGACAACTATTTATAACAAGACCAGGTATAGGATAGCCTTTTGTGCAAAAATCACAAAATATTATGAAAGTTACCATTGATCAATTCTTGTAGTCCCAGAGGTTCATTGGCTAATTTATAAACTTGACCAACACCATAACTCCTAAACCAACATTATAAATTCTAAACTAATGAATCAGTCAATATTTATATCTAAGTTTCACCACCATCAGAGCCTCGCCAAGTGCCTCATAAAATAAAAATCCTAAACTGCCAAAATGGAATCCAACAATATTTATATCTAATGTAATCCCTTCTCCGATATTCTAGAGCAGTAGAGAAGCCAGGTATTTATGGTACTGAGGCAAACTTTCATAATAAGAAGATCAACCTTTTATTTTTCTTAGGAATAACTAAGGCATTATACTAACTGAATTTCTATGTCCTCAGGATTTAGACCTAAAAACTAGATAAGACAATATTCTTCTTGGCTAACTTTACTGTGACCTCCAGGAAACATGACTTAACCGTGAAACTCAAAACACTGTCAACTCCTTTTACTACAAGCTTATAGTCCACTGCCTAGACATACTTCCACCTATTCACACAAAATCCATGATAACCACAATATAACAAGGATTGATAAAAGATCAGAAGCCTCAATAAAAAACAAGATGAGACACAGGTGATATGCATATTGATTCTATTGACTTGCTTTACAGAAATATACACACAAAAGCAAGCAATAAACAGACACATATATAAAAAATAAACACCCCTCAAAGGATAAATCTATATATCAATAAATAGCTTGATCTGGCAGCAACTTCATGAATAGCCAGAAATGTCATTGTCTGAACTTGCAACAAACCTCACAAAGCAATTTCCGAACACGTTCTTCAAGGGGCATAGAAAACAAAATCCTGAAACAATATCCATTTGCACTTTTGAATTTATATTAAAATTACCATGCAAGAATATTAAACAAAAACCTCCATATACACATACATAGTTGTTAACAAAGGGGACAGATACAAATAAAACCAAATAATTACAATTACTACGGACAGATACAGCCAAGATGAATGCAAACAAATTTGTATCACTATTGATCAGGCTGTTCAACATACAGAATATAAACCCTTGTCATGGAATTGAACATCAAACTCTTAAGACCGCAAAGGAAGATGTTTGCAAACAGAATATCAGAAAAAGGAATATAATTCCATTTGACAAAATCGTAGTCTTTCCATGTGTAGGCTAATAAAATTTACAAGAAGCGCCATCCAAAGAAGAATAACATTAGGAAAGCACAAAACTTTTATATTCTACCATATTTCCCGAACAACTTTGATTACCTTGCAATTGTTGCTTTCCTCCCAAGTATTCTATCAGTGCACCAGTAACTGATGTTTTTTTCACTTGTCACTCTCTTATAAAAGCAGCATCACGGAATCACATATCCATACACACAATGCATAAACGTACATGCTTCCCGCACACAAATGTCGATACCAACCAACACAAAATAAAGAATACATACAAGTCTAGTGCACAACAGCTAAATGACCAATAAACACACACAAAAATACATGGTGTTGTGCATAATAGCTATATCACCTTCATGGACACAGAAGAGTCATTAAAAGAATCAAAAGATTAGAAAAAAGACCATACCTGCTTGAACGGCTTTTGGATTTAATTTTACTGTCACATGCTCCAGGGCATAAAGCGCTAACATATTCACACCTGTAGATTGTCATAAAGTGACGGACCCGTTGTTACTAGATGGTACAAACGTAAGGAAAAGAGGGGGCAAAAAGGGTAATCAACTTGGGGACAAGTGGCCTGCCAGGTGGCTTGGATAGTTCTTTAGGATTTGAGTGTCAGGAATAAAGGACTAAGGGCGTGTGTGTGAAGGATCATTCGGAATATTTGGGTAAAAAGGGTCTGGGAGGAGCTGGCCCTCGAAGTCTAGTCTGTTCTTTTTGTTTCACTTTGTTTCTCTTGTTTCTCTTTTGTTCTGGTTACCTTTTAGTGATTCAGATATAGTTAATGAATATTGCTTTTTCTTCGGTTATTTGTTATTTGGTTTATTACTTGTTATTGATTGTGATTTGGAATATTGTGTGTTCTGGAGTTGTTGCTGTTATTTTGGCTTGTGTTCTGTGTTGTGAGGAGGTCAGAGGTATTCAACAACTGGTATCGAGCCGTCACTCATTGGGGCATGGTTAACACCAGAATGGAGGGTAGGGTAGATAATGTTGAAAGAGAGATAACCAGACTGACAGAGAATGTTACCTTCATGAGAGAGATCTTGGTCGAAATGCAGAACTGGATGCGACAGAAGGATGAAGAAAAAGATGTTCGCCGTAGACAAGTGGTCCTGGAAGAAGGTGACCACTTTGGATTAGGAAACCAACGTGACAGAGGAGCCCACTTGGGGAATGAACAACTACCACCACCACTAACACCACCTGACTACGGTAGCTACCATCACGAAAAGGGAGGGAACAAGAGAGACTGAGGTGGACGAAGGTTGGAGCTCCCGATTTTTTTCGGCAAAGACCCCTATGGGTGGATTTTTAGGGTCTGCTTGGAAGTTTAGTGGTTTTGAGGGGTTTTTAGTAACAGTTTCTAAAACACCCAACCTATGCTTAGAAGTTTATTTTCTAACGGTTCTAACAGTTTTTTAAAATGATAAATTTACATATATGCCTATTAAAGTATTCTAACTTCAACCAGTATTTGGGAGTTTTGTTTTTATAATTACAAAGTAAAGGTTCTTTATTTGTTTTCTACTTATTAGTATTTCATAACTTCAAATGTAATAAAGTCTCCTTATCCTTCTTCGCCATTCTTGGAAGCATCTGGAATGATTGAAAAATTGTGGCTCCACTTCTTCAAGAAAGCATCTAGAAAAGAGATTTTAATCATTTTTTTTTTATGATTGCTTAAAATTATTTTATATTTAATATGGTTGGAGACGCGCATAATATAGTTAAAATTTTCTTTTGGATATAATTGAGATAGTTTTGTAATGGATAGGCTATTTGTGGAATAAAATTTTAAAACCAACCTAAACACCTCAATTTGGGGGGTTTTATAAACCCCTCAAAAATACACTACACTGGTTATGGGGGGTTTTTAAGCCAGTCAAAATCATTGCATAAAAAATCTAGCAAGTAATGGTTTTAGAAGACCTCAAAACTAGTGATTAAAAAAAAAAAAAAAAAAAAAAATAACCTCCCAAGCAAACCCTTACGGTTGAGACATATTTCTCCATTGATCAAATTTCGGAGAAGAACAAGGTTTCTTCCACAACGCTGTGTATAAAGGGTGAAGCCCTTCACTGGTTCCAATGGACAGAGTCCAGAACTTTGGCAGTGACTTGGTCGGCTTTTAAAGTGGCACTCTCACAGAGATTCAGTGGCGCTCAAGAAATCAGCCCCTTGGAGTTGATAATGTCGACGAAGCTAATCAACTCAGTGTTGGACTACCACCGGCGATTTGAAGAAGTTGCAGCGTTGACAAGAGGCGAGAGGGAAGAAGTCCTAATAGTCGCATTTCTGAACGGGTTGAAACCTAAGGTTAATGCTAAGATCAAGCTCCAGCAACCCAATATACTTAACCAACCCAACTCCTTGGTCCAAGTGACTCTCCTGTACCAAAGGGTGGAAGAAAGAAACCAGGTGCTCAATGAGGCCCAAGTAGGTTTGGGCCAACAAGGAAAAGTGGGGGGAAAAAACCCATTCACTAATTCACTTAAGCCCAATGAGAACAGCAAAGCCCAACCCAACAACAGCCAATCTAATATAACCCAACCCAACTCACTACTTAGCCAAAAAAATCCCCAATTCCGACCCTCATTTAGACGAAGCTTCACCGAGAATGCCTCTAGCTCAGGGTCAACTCCGGCATCCAGCTTTCGATCTAACAATTTATGACATGACTTTCCATTCAAAAAGTTAACCAAAGCCGAAATCCAGAGAAAGAGAGAGCGGGGATTGTGCTATCATTGTGATGCAAAATACGTTCCAAGCCATAGGTATGGTGATAAACAATTTCAGGTTATGTTGATAGAAAAACATGAAGAGGAAGACGGTAAAGATAAGCATAAAGAGGAAGCAACTGTTGAAGAGAATCCAACACCACACGAAGCAGAGCTCTCGATCAATTCAGTCGTCGGGATTAATGGTCCAAATACGTTGAAGCTAAAAGGGGATATCAGTGTTAAAGAGCTGATCGTCCTAATTGACAATGGAGCCTCACATAATTTCATCCATTGGCAAGTGGTTGAGGAGTTGAGAGTTCCAGTGGTAAGTACGAAGGCTTTTGGTGTGAGAGTGGGTGATGGATACCATGTCAGATGCAGTGGGGAATGTAAGGGAGTTCAATTGAAATTGCAAAATGTCATGGTGGTCCAGAACTTTTTTTCCATTTGAAATGAGTGGGGTAGATGTCATCGTAAGAGTTGCTTGGTTGGAAACACTGGGGGAAGCGATGACTAATTGGAAGACTTTGGTGATGAGATTCAACTTGGCTGGTAAGTCAGTTATTCTTAAGGAGGCGCTTGGTTCAGGGAATGTTGGATTACTGGAAAGTTAGATTACCTTGAAGATTACTAAGAATCTTTAGGAAAATATGTTTAGTTAATTGACGGGTATGTTATATTAATATGTTTGGTTGGGAGGAATAAATTGATGGGTATGTTACTTAAATTACTGAATTATCCTATGGGAGGTCACTCAGGGTTTTTTCGCACTTATAAGAGGTTATTACAGGTAGTTTATTGGGAAGGAATGAAAAGGGATGTTCACCTATTTGTACGAGACTGCCCTACATGCCAACAAAACAAGAATGACTGCCTTCAACCAGTCGGGTCACTACAACCATTACTAGGTCCCTCTCAAGTATAGGAGGACGTATCCATGGATTTTATAACGGGCCTCCCAAAGGCTCAGCGAGTCGACACTATTTTAGTGGTGATAGATCGCCTCATCAAATATAGTCATTTCATTACACTACAACACCCGTACTCAGCTAAAGGGGTAGCTGCCCTCTTTCTCACTAATGTGGTTAAGCTACATGGATTTCCCTGCACCATTGTATTTGATCGGGACAGTCTATTTATGAGCGTGTTCTGGGGGGAATTGTTCAAACTGTCGGATACCAAGCTCCACATGAGCACGACTTATCACCCTCAGTCAGACAGCCAATCCGAGGTTGCCAACCGATGACTTGAAACGTACTTAAAATGTTTTGTGAGTGACCAACCCAAACAATGGCCTCGATGGCTTGCTTGGGCAGAGTACTAGTCCAATACTACATACAGCAGATCAACCGGGGTGACTCCATTTAGGGCATTATATGGGAGAGACCCCCCTACCTTTCTTAAGTACACCGAACACAGCTCAATTGTGGAAGCAATGGATGAGCCCCTAACAGAAAGAAACCTGATTTTGAAGGAATTAAAGAGCAATCTTGACAAGGCTTAGAATTTGATGAAAATGAATGCTGATGGTAAGAGACGAGAGGTTCAACTTGATGTAGGGGATTCAGTTTATTTGAAGCTCCAACCATATAGGCTAAAGTCCCTAGCACAGAGACCTAATGAGAAGCTTAGCCCTCGGTTTTACGGCCCCTACGAAATCATTGAGAAGATTGGGTAGGTGGCTTACAAATTGAAACTTCCACCCACAACCCAAATTCACAATGTTTTTTACAGGTCTCAACTGAAAAAGGTCTCTTCCCATCCCATTCCTTCACGACCTCTCCCAAAGATTCTGGACAGAGATATGGTACTTAGAGCTGAACTTTAGCAGGCAATTCTGAAATGCTGGTTATTAAATGGGAGCTATGAGGTGCTGATCAAATGGAAGAACCTACAAGCTTGCGATAACACTTGGGAGGAATACGAATCCTTATGCCACCAGTTTCCTGCTTTCCACCTTGAGGACAAGGTGACACTCCTTGGGGAGGGTATCAATGGACCTGTTGTTACTAAATGGTACAAATGTAAGGAAAAGAGGGGGCAAAAAGGGTAATCAACTTGGGGACAGGTGGCCTGGATAGTTCGTTAGGATTTGAGTGTCAGGAATAAAGGACTAAGGCGTGTGTGTGAGGTATCATTCGGAATATTTGGGTAAAAAGGGTCTAGAAGGAGCTGGCCCTCGAAGTCTGGTTTGTTCTTTTTGTTTCGCTTTGTTTCTCTTGTTTCTCTTTTCTGGTTACCTTTTACCGATTCAGATATAGTTAATGAATATTGCCATTTCTTCGCTTATTTGTTGTTTGGTTTATTACTTGTTATTGATTGTGGTTTGGAATATTGTGTGTTCTGGAGTTGCTGCTGTTATTTTGGCTTGTGTTCTGCGTTGTGAGTGAAAAGGGAGGTTGAGGTCAGAGGTATTCATCATAAAGATATCAAAATTATACAATCAATTCATATAACAATCCAAAACGAAATAATCTGAAACAACTTGCAGAAATAGTAGCCAAAATGGGCATAAACTACATACGGGTTCACTGTGAAGTGTAAAGGAGAATTTTCTTGAGCCAACATTCTCTGCAGGAATCTAGCTGAGAAATCACTCTTTGACCCATGGTACTTCAGTGGAACCCAACCCTAGATGAAAAGGATAAACAATATAAATGAACAAAAAAAGCTTTAATTAACTTTACAGTCTGCAAATTAACAGTCCAATTGTTCTTGTAAAAAAAAGAGAGAGAGAGAGAGAAGTTTGAAAAATGCTTGTGAGAGGGAGCACTGCACAGTTAACAGACATACCTCTTCCTCATTTGTTCTTTTTTGCTCAACAGAACCCTCCATCTGCTTGTTCTGAACCACAGAAACTAATAAGACCAACCTCAAGCATCGTAAATATAGACAAGAAAAGATAACAGACCAACCAGCAATTGGAGCAGACAAAAAAGGACATATAAAATAGCTAAATAAGCCTTGATCCAAACAAAATAGTTTTCCACGTGAATCCTTTAGTGCCATTCAGTTCCATCAAGAAACATAACATAGTCCAGGATATTTTGGTGGACCTAGCATGAGGCAATGGCTTTTCAGAATGCATCACAACAAATTATGGTATGACACTCGTTACTAATCCCTTTTTCATATTGGCAATGTGGACTATATACAATGATGCAAACTGCTGAAGGAAAATTGAATAAGCAGTCTTCTGGTTTATTGTCTGGGCATGTTTAAGATGCTCTCGCGATGAAAACAGTGAGATCTCTATACTGAAAATTCTTTTTAAGAGTACATACCTGCAACATATATGACAGAGGAAAGATTACCTGTTTCTTTGATGGACCAACAGATTTATTTTCATTCGAAGCTTCTAATTTAACAGCAACTTCTGCATTGCTTGGGACATTTTTCTTCCTTTTTAAGCCACCAGACTTAAATTGATCTGTTGATGGTCGAAGCTGCACAACTGCATTAATAGGATTCACGTGTAACTGCAAGATGAAAACAGACATAGGTCTCTTACAATACTTAAGGTTAAGTATAACTTATACAGATATATAATTAAAACAAAGGGCAACAATAGACCAACATTAACTCATTAAGCAGCAGATAAACTGATGCTGCAGGACAAAATATCTTAATCTTAAATGTAGAAAAGGTCCTTAAGCGTTACATGCAACAAACCAAAAAATTTTGATTGCATGTAATCCAAAATAGATATGTTTTGTGCAGAACACTAAAACTAAGAGATGGGCAGGGAAAAAAGAAAGGATGTTAGCACGCACAAGCACAAATGACATTCTATAGACACAGCCTTGGCAATCATTGAGATCGAGCAAAAGAACAAATCAAAGATGTAATCATACAATCAAAAGCATAAACTACTACTCCCACAGTATTTATGCTTGTAAAATCCATAATTCTTGAACCAAACTAGCTAGAGGTCAAAGATATGGTCTGCTAGAGCTAATTGCAAAGCCTCAACTAGTTGCTATCATTGGATTTTACCATTTCAACAGAAAACCAACTGGAGTCCAATCAAGAAGGGAAAAATACATTGCACACTCAAGTATGTTCTATAAGGAGGGAGGCCAAATCCTTTGATGACTTTCAACATTACACACCAGAAGCAAGTTAGAACAGCTATCTACATAAGGTGAATGGCATTATTGCATATCCAGTAACACTGGTGACATAAGGTATTTAGTTCAAAAGCAGACACAACTCTTTACAGTTCATGTTTATGTGCCACCATTGAATTTTTTAGTTCTGAACACATACAAATCTGTTAATAACAAGCAAGAGTATGATAGTTAAGTCATAGGTCGTAAAAGGAGCATTTCAGTCATTATGCTGAAAGATTTGTAGAGACAATACACTGCCAATAAATTGAACTATATAAAGACCTACGACCTTGTGAAGGACCTCAAGTCTACCAAGCTTACAGTTATTGAAAATTTTACTTTACATACATTAACCTTCATCACTTAACTCTTTCTTCCACTATAAAATATACATTCCAAACAAGTTGGCTCATTCACAAGTCAAAGTGAACATTGCATCAAACATTAACATTTCTATCAAGACCTTAAATGCTCTCTAAACAAGCCAATCTATATACAGCGTCTTTGCAAACCTAATCAAAATAGCATTTCATTTCATCTACCAATTGGCTCAAAAGCCATCCACCAAAGTGCTTCAAATCTCTTCTCAGCAAATACTAAAATTCCTTAAGATGTTGCAATTGGAGATACACAATTTTGTTAGAAACAAAACTCCCTTGATTTGAGGAAAAAAGTTGGTCAATCTACCCTAAACTAAGAACACATTAAAGACAAAGTTAGCACCATTGCTTTCATAAAAGCGCTTCTAACCTTAAAGCATAATGAATATAGTAGTTAAATACCTTATCTCCCACCAGAACACCAACAGCATAGCCACCTGCCACAGATGGTTTCCATGAAGAAGACAAAGTCTAAGAAAAACCATGAAATAAGACATTATGCTCCATAATCAAACAAGCTATACATAAATTGAACTTTAGTTTCCAAATGCAACTTCAGAGGCAATCAAACCTGCTTCGTTATGTTAACCCTGATAGCTCTGTCACTGTCCCAATTATTCGAATCAACATTCATTGACAAGTCCATTTCTATCTCTGCAGTCGAAGGTTTAACCCTAACCTATGAAAAAGAACGAAACGCATATCTCTATTTCCGTTCTATAAATAAATAAATGTAATGAAGCATAATACAACACACCTCTTCGCATCTCTCATCCAACTCATACGGGCGCCAACATGCTCTCAATGGATATTGCATTACTAATAACTGAACGTTTTAGTTATAGCTATTAGCAACTAAATACAAATAATAAATATACTGAAATCAAATAAAAGATATAACAAACATGAGACCTGAGTATCGGCATCGATTGAAGCATTGAAATATACATCAATTTCGCGAACAATCATATCATCTTCTTCTTCTAATTCATTACTGTCTGAATCCGCCGGCTCCTCCGTTTTCGGTTCCATTCTGACATCCGGTAGCGGTTTCTTCTCCATTTTGACAGCACCATTCAAGGCCGAAGATTCAATCTTCGGTGAAAGATGCGCAGTTAATGTCGATGAAGTTAAATCTTCTTCGGATTTCCGTTTCTTCAAGATTGAGACATCCGGTGGTTGTTGTGCAGGTTTTGGTGGCGGTGATTCAGGTTTTGGAACCGTTTTATTGAGACTGGATTTCGGCAAGAATTTCTTGACTCGAGGAACTTGAGTCGACTTGTCATCCAGTTCATCAAAGTTGTCAAGGTCCATGCTCAAGACTAAGTTCGTCTCTCGCGGTTGATGGCTGAATAAGAGTAGCTCCAGTTAGTGAGTTTATTGAGACTCTGAGACTGAGAGGCAGCAAACGCGGGGACTTGCTTTACTTTTTTGAAAAATATAAATAAATTGACACCTCTAAGCAAGGAAAAGACAATAGTCTCCCCAGTTTCAGAATCTATCACCCCACACCCACAACCGTTTAATATGACGGTTAATGCAATCAAAATCAAAAAAGGGTAAAATTAATTATTTTTAGAGAGGTGCTATTAACATCTTTTTAATTTAACTAGCCCCTATATACAAATTTATAGAGGGTAAAATAGTAAACTCAATCACTTATAATTTGTTTTATTGCATTATTAAATTGTCTTGAACGCAATAATAATAGAAAAATCCTCTAAAACTTTTTTGTTTTGGCAAAGAATAGTAACTTATAAATATAAATTCGTCATCACTGATTTTTTTGAAATTAAATGCATATTTTAAATTGAAATTACCACAAAGGTTATTGACAAGTAAAAATAGTTCATAGAAATTGTAACTTTCTTTCATGAGTCGATCTCTAACTCTCCTAGTGACGAAATCCTGAATAACTTGTAAATATTTAGTACAATTCCTTCTAAAACAGTATAACCTATAACTTAGAAGATTTGCAATAGAAAATAGATTTAATTTTTTGGATTACTGGTTTAGATTAGGGATAAATTATAATATCTTTAAAAATTAATTTTCATATAAATTTAATTTAACAATGGACTTTAAAGTGTTTTCTTGGAGTTCAAATAACACCACTCTCCTTCTGAAGTTGAGCAAACAAAATAGATGGATTTAGGCAAAGGCCATTGTAGGCAGGGGGCTACTTAGGTGTAAGAACATATAGAGTGGAGGGCTAATCGGCAAGGCCACTCGCTAATTTTATTTTCGGCTAAAGAGTTCCTGCTAATCCGAACTCACTAGTTTATCGTCATCTATCTGTATGACAGGTCTCAACTCAGGAGGAAGATCTGGTACTAGACATAAAACCGCGCATTCAGGTTCTATTTTTGTTCAAAGAAAATGCTTAACTAATTCCATGCGTCTAACTAAAAAAATCCCTTCTTCTTCTAATTTTTTGAGGATTGAACTAATAACGTATATAGTACTTGAATTCTTGACATAGATGCTATAGAATTGGTTATTATACTTCAGAGACTACTAGTGTAATAGGAGCATTTGTCGGATCACCTTTAGATGATCAAATCTTTTACGTGGCATAGCTCAACAGATCTTAGTTACTCATGCTCTGTCGCTCATATTTTTTAAATATTATTGTTAGGTAGATTTTGATGGTTATTACAAAGTAGGATTTGAAAATTAAAAATAGCTGAATAATTTAGGATATGATTTTGAGAATAAAAAAAAATACACATTTTGATTTGGAATACAAATAAATAGGAAAACAAACGCACCCATAACTTTTGTGGCCTCAGTGTGGGATGTGATTTTAGAAGAGGTAAACACCCCAACGTCATGGTATTTACATGAAGTAAAATTAAGGACACTTTGATTTTTCAGTGACAAATTAGTCCCTGAAACAAACATCCATCACTTAGTTTCGTTACGTAATGCAAAACTTTTTGTGTAAAGTATAAAATACCGCTAATAAAAAAAATTGAGAAACATATAAAACTAAATTATTTTTACCCTTATTAAATAAAAAAATTAACCTATAAACTTTCATTATACAGTACTTTTTAACTTTCAAAATTACCAGACCTAGCTTAGTCAAACATAATTTCTTTCATCTTTCATCTTTCATAGAACACGTGTAGGCTCCCTTTGTTTTGTTATTCCTATCCATATTCTCAATCTTGTTCTCAAAATACTTGTTTGTTTTATTATTTGAGAAATACTATTCTATTTTTTAATTACTTTTAAACCCCTTAAATTTATTATTTTAATAAACACCCCTAGAAAAAAAGTTTAAAAATTAACAAAAACACCCCCACACACCCATAGTTGCCAGATTCCGGCAACTACCGTCGGTGGTTGCTGGAATCTGTCACAATGGCGTAAAAATAACCAGAACTGACCGGTAATTCGCCGGTCTAGCTGTCGCAAAGAAATATCTTTGGTCGTCAATCTGGCCTTTTGCAGCCGTCGACGGCTGGAAAAGGCCATATTGACGCACGACCTGCCAAATCCGATAGGTCTGTATTGTAACGTCACTTTTCGGTCAAATTCTGGCGGTGGTGACCAGAATCTACACTATGGGTGGGTGGGGGTGTTTTTCTCATTTTACAAAATTTTTATATATTGGCGTGTTTAGTTAAATTAGCAAACCTAGGGGGTTTTTTTGTTAATTTTTAAATTTTACCTCGTAATACTCACCTTATTCAACTACCTAATATTATTCACAAAATCATATCCAAAATCGCAAAACAAACGGACCCGTAATTATCTTCTCCAATTCTTCCAAAAAAGATTGGCTTGTCTTCTTCTTTGATTCTTCCCAAAAGAAAAAATAAAAAATCCTACTTCTCAACCTTTACTCTACCAAGTACCAACATAACATAAAAACCAATAAACCCAAAAAAAAAAATTCATGAAACCAAGACTTCGAAATCCTCTCTGTTTCCATGGCAACTTTCACTTTTTTTTTTTTTTTTTATTCATTGTTACCCTTTTTTCTTCCTAGTCTGTTGACATGTGAATAATGATACGCGTCATATTTAGAAGATTGGAAATATTTGATATGGCCTAAGCATGGATATAGTGTTACTAGATTTATTTCATTCCGTTTATATGTTGATTTGTATTTATTTCTATATATTTGACTTCCTTACATATCACTGTTACAATTGTATAAATTGTACAAACTTTTACATAAAATATATCAAAATACAAAAAAGTATTCCTCTCTTCTTTTCTTTTTGGGCATACTATGCAACCAAGTGTTGCTTCTCTTGTCTCTCCAAAACTTCTAGGCATTCTTCGGCAGTTCAACTAGTTCTATTGCCACTCCAATCCTAACTTCTTACATGGTATCAGAGCCAGGTTCCTTAGCCAGATCCTCTTCTTGTGAACTCGATGTTGTCACTGAACCTTTACGAGGATCGCTGGAAACACTTCAGTAGTACCAAAGAATCCAAGAACAGGACAGGTTAATTCATTTTTTAATCAGATTGAATGACAATTTTTGTCCTTTCGAACACAGATGCTCGCCACCACTTCACCACCATCACTCTGACGTGCCTATCAATTGGCCATCCAAGATGAGAGTCAAAGGCTGGCCTCAATGGAATCACAAAAAATGGGTGATTCCATGGCTTTCATCGCAAACAGGGAAGAAAAGAGGGAGGCGCGACTAGGTTTTGCTAATGACAAAGAAAATGAAAAAAAATTATATCCAGGGATGAACGGCCCAGATCTGCCCAAGCAATCCAATGGCCAACAAGCGGTCAACCAAGTTAGTGGGGTCAACGGTCAACTGGGTCAACCTTTGGGGAATTCATCCAATAGTAATTTTTTAAGCAATTTTCAAAATAAGTTATAAATCCAACGGATCTAGTTCATTTTGATCAAGTAAAAAAATGTATTGTGATTATTGTAAGAGAAGAAATCACAATAAGGAGTCATGCTGAAAATTACACGGTCATCCTAAAAAAGGCAATCCAACTGCCAACAATGTGACTGTCACCACCACATCCGGATCCGAAGCCCAACCACCATTGATCAAACCTGAACAAATTACTTAACTCATCCAGATGTTGAACCAAATGCCAACAAAAAACGCTTTCGCCAATTATACAGGTACTTCTTTCTATTTCAGTAGTTCAACTTCCCGTGATTTATGGATTATTGATTCAGGGGCTAGTGATCATATAATTTGTGACCCAAAATATTTTCAAACACACACAAAAACCATATCACATCTATCTGTTAGGATGCCCAATGGTAGCATTGCTCCCGCCACTCATATAGGGGTTGTAAAAAGAACTAAGGGCATAACTCTTAAAAATGTCATGTTCGTCCCTACTTTCAACTTTAACCTTATATCTGTCTCAAGATTTTGTGCAGATAATAATTGCATACTACAATTTCATCCTAATCTGTGTACCTTTTAGGACCCTTCGACTGGCAAACAAATGGGCTTGGATAAGGCCCATCATGGTCTCTATTACTGGGAGCCTCTTTCAACTATTCTTAGCAATAAAGTCTCCTCTTGTAATGCCAATATTAATAAAAATTATCTAATTTTGCATCAAAGATTGGGCCATAGTGCATCTAATCCTTACTTAAATTGTCAAACAACCAAGAATAAGATTTCCCATTAGCACATCTTCCACAAAACAACCTTTTGCCCTTATCCATCTTGATATTTGAGGACCATACTCTGTCCCCAATCATGATGGATCCAGATTTTTCTTAATGATTTCTCTCACAGGACTTGGGTCTTTCTTATTGTTACAAACAGAGAACTGATTGTAATATTTTTCATATTGTATTGACAAATTATACATCAATATATAGGAAAATAAAGAACTAATCTAGGAAATAAATAATCTAATCTAGGAAATAAATATTCTAACTTCCTATTTTACAGATTTGTTCCTAATATGTATTGATTACAATCCTAATATCCTATTATAGATTTATACACTTAATCATGCAATATCTGTAAGATTTTGCATGATTATCTACAACACTCCCCCTCAAGATGGAGCATAGATGTTAATCATGCCCAGCTTGTTACAAATATAATCAATCCGAACCCCATTCAAAGCTTTAGTGAAAACATCTCCTAGTTGCTCTCCAGTCTTCACATATCCTGTAGAAATTAAACCTTGCTGTATTTTCTCACGAATGAAATGACAGTCAATTTCAATGTGCTTAGTTCGTTCATGAAATACGGGATTAGAAGCAATATGAAGAGCGGCTTGGTTATCACACCACAATTTTGCTGGCAAAGAGGCCATAAGACCAACTTCAGTCAAAAACTGATATATCCA